AAAGTGGTTGGGATATAGATATAGTTACATTCTCTTAATGAATAGAATGATTTGTTCTAATGGTGTTTGAAATAGGATCTCAGGTCCGCATCTTGTACAGCAATTAACCACTAAGAAGAATATATGCAGTGTGTTGGTTATTGAAAGTGTCCTACCAAATTGATTTGAAATTGTCTCATTGCTATCAATAAAATTATGAAAAAAACCCAAAAAAACCCAAAGATATAGTATATAAATCTTAGAACAAAAATTATGATTAAGCAATATTCAGAAAATTAAATACTAATTAAAAGAAATGTTTCAAAACAATTGAACTAAGAAAAAGTTTTCATGATAGTAAAGAAGTACTAAGAGTAAAACACAAGATAAATACTAGAATGGCAAATAAATGACCAGCACTTCTAACAGTTTGAGGATAGGATATCACACAAAGTTCTAGTGTGTTGTGGACATGCATAATGACCATGACCATGACCATTACTGGTGGCCAGGTGTCACTTGTAGGACTGAGCTACAGCTATTTCTTTGAAATCCACCCTGTAAACCCAGATGGAATCATGACCCATAGGGTGGAAGAGAAGTCCATTTGTAGAGTGTGCTGATGGAAATATTTTGCTGCAGTACACAGAATAACAACTGAAAGACTACTATTGTATCTCTCTTATTCTCCTGTGTTTGTTTGCCCTATTTGGTAGGTTCTTTCCATGCTCTTTCATGGGGCTGTGATCATTATGCTCCCTCTCTAGAACATCATTTAGTAGTCTCTGTAGGCTGGGCTTTGTCATCATGAAATTCTTTAGTTGTTCTTTGTCATGGAAGTATTTCACTAAAACTCTAAACTTTGCCCCTCTTGCAGTCTATAGCCACTAATTTCTTTCAGTTCCTTCAAATGCATCTATTTAGTGGATTAAAGCACCTGCAAACAGGCACAGGGGCTGGGGTTCAATCTCAGGGCTTGCTGAGATGGCACTGAGCCTGGGCATGGTGGTGTGGTCTATAATCCCAGCTCTTGAGAGGCTGTAATCAGGCGGATTACTACAAGTCTGGTCTACTAGTGGGACCCTGAATACCCTAAAAGTAAAAATTTCCCTAAAAAAAAAAAAAAAAAACCAACAACAACAGCCTCCAAAAAAGCATCTATTGTTTAGTAACTAAGGCTACTGGGTTCATCCCAGAACATGCGAAACTGGGCAGTCATGTCAGGATTTGGATAAAGTACATACATACTGATTTTGGAACTCATTCATCCTATGGCTTCCCTTCTTTAAGTATTTCTCCCTTCACTTCTTGCTGGCCTGCCATTTCCAACAATGTCCTTTAGTTTTTCAAGCCAGAAAGGCTGTAGACTGAGGAGCGTCCTCTCAAAAGAAGCTAAAACAGTCCCAATCTCACTTCTTCCTATTTGACTACCAAAGGCCTATTTCCACTGTTCTGCTTGTTATTCATATTGTTCCATCATATTCCTGTTACCACAATGCGATTATTCAAATGCATTATTTTTAAAGTGAAAAAACAGACATAAAAATAAAGTAAGATCCTTTAAAAACAAATTTACTGCGCTCTTCTTCAAGTATTGATTAGGTTTTGGAGGTTCAGTGGTAAACAAGACAGACAATGTTGCTGTCTTATGAACCTAAAAATGGTTATGTTTCAATGAAAAAAATAATAGCAGAAATGAAGTGAAAATGAATGACAGAAGGGTGAGGGAGACCTTTAAAATGACTGGTGAAGTCCATTTGAGGAAATAACAGGAAGGACAATTACAAGGTTACTTTAAGCTATGGGCAAAAGAACTCAACAGGAATGAAGAAGGAAACAACAAGAAAGAGAGGATAAAAAAGTAGTCATATGACTAATAAGAGAGTAAAGAACAGGTGTTATAAGTGGGTCACAAATTCAGCCCTGAGTTTCTGATTGCCAAACTGGGCCATCCATTTATAGCTAAAATGCACTCTACAAAACTATCCTAAATACAGACAAGCATAAAAGCTGTCTGCATAAATTATTTGTAACAGTCAGAAACTACAACCCAACTGTATCTAACAATTAAGGAACGGTGAAAGAGGGTACAATACCTACTTAGCTAATAGATTACTTTGAATCCATTAAAACTAAGAGCTTAATTTACAAAGGTATTTATGCTATATTGCCTAATTTTAAAAAATATAAAACATGTAAAAGCATATAAAATAGATAATTACTATTTTAGATAACACTGCAAATCCTACAAAAACCTTCACCCCCAATAAGCTTTAATAAATGCATGCCAAATTTCTAAATGAAATGCATCTCATTGGTGAAGTTATATCAATCAGAGTTTAAAGAGGAAAAGGCACCTAACGTGTAACTACATAAACTTACATAGGTATGTGGATAGAATGCCTCCGCTCTAGCCCACTCCAATCATTCTTCACACTACTATGGGACAATTCTCTGACACATCTGACTGTGGCAGACCGTCAGCCTCTAAATAGCAACAGCGGTCTGACTTCTGAAGGTGGCTTTTCAAATGAAGCTCATGCATACCGTATTTCTCTGACATCTGCCACAAACCCACTCCAACTCGTGCTACATTTTGTCAGAGGTATTTAGTAATTTCTCAAATTTGAAATGTTTATGTTACTCTTCCTTAGCCTGGAATGTCTTTCCTCTCCTTTTTCCTCTCCAGTTATGGCTGTAATTTTCTTTCAAATGCTACCTCAATTACGAAACCTTTCCTGATTTTTCTGGACAGAGATGGACACACTTATATTGCTCCTTCACAACATACTTTAAAAACCTCTATTATAATATACCTGACATGATACAATAATTTTTTAAAGGCTATGCTCTATACAATAAATAATAATTTATTTGAGGATGGGTTTCATGTTTCATTTTCCTACCCAGAGGACTCAGAACTGTTCTTGGCATATAGCAAACACCCAAATGCTTGCTGATTAATGAAGACAAGCAAACATACCTTTACTGGTCTCACCCAAGCCAAAGAACAAGGGATTGCCTGGGCTGGAAGCTTTGTGTAGCAGCACCTATGTGGGTAATCAAATATATGAGTATTTAATGATTTTTTAAAACTCTATTTTATGAAATCTCTAGTTCATTTCTTGGTTACTCATACCATGTCAGAGAACACTGGTACCTTGATTCACAAATTCAAAATTTGTTCCATGATTTTGGAAAAGACAGCCCTGTTTGTTTTGTGGGGCCACAGCTGTGTCTGTCACCCAATGAAGAATTTGGAAAAAAACCCTCAAAATTCTGCAAAACACTTTGCAAACCAAACTGCAAATAACAATGTTTTTGAACCAAGGAATCACTGTATTTTATTCATCAAATTTAAAATGTAATATAAGCAAATAAAATTAAAGCATTCTAAAAATTGTAAGCATGTTTAATCTTTCAGAGGCCCATACAATGAAGTAGATAGAAATCGCTCAACCTTTCTGCTGCACATATACAGATGCACCTCTTATGACCCTAAGGGTCATTTTCTTTTGTGTGTGTGTGTGTGTGTGTGTGTGTGTGTGTTGTGTGTGCGCGCGTGTGCTACGTTTATTTTTTTTTGACATCAGTTATTTTTATTTTAAAGAAAAAAAACAATGGTACAAAATCTCAAAACAAGATTTAAGGAGAGTAACAATGGTTAGTACATTGTGTATTGTTACTGCCAAAGTAGTTTCTCATATTACAAGATATAGGCAAGAAATAATAAATAAACAACATAGGTACAAACCTCTTTTTTTTCAAGTCAACAGAAAATGGAAATATACTTTTTAAAGTTTCTAATACTAGGAGAAGATATCATACAATGTCTTTTAAATAAATTGTAAGTCAAAGATAAGGGTCATTTTCTTAACGGGACTGAAATTTATTCTTGTGATCTACTCAAATTTCCAGTTAAGTGAAAAAGATTATAATCCATCTGTGAAATTAAATGACCAGTAGTCAAATCTGCACTAAGAGGGATAAAAAGCAGGGAAGAGTAAGGAAGAAAGGCAAGAGCAGAAAGAAAAGTTTTAGCACCATGACTTAGTTTGTCCATCGTTTTTATTAAATTCCACTTACTTCAGGAACCTCAGAGAGGACTTCTGGACAGTTCCAATATTTCCAAAGTCTGGGTAAAACACTTCAACTTCATTTTTCGCCAGGACTTGATGGATAACAACCCGATACCACCACTTATCCTCAGAAATCCTTACACAACAGAGATGACCTGGTTGGATAAAATGTTCTGGCATGGTGTATCGATCAGATACCAGCTGATTAGAGTAACAGCGCCTGTGGAATTTCACAATACAGAAAAACTTATAGCAAAAGAAAAATTGGAGATCAATTTTATTGATGTATCAAGAATAGGAAAGTCTTCACAAAAGCAAAGAAAACATTCTCACTTCAAAAAAATGTGTTCATGTTCATTAACACCACAGTATTTTCTTATGTTATCTGAGTAAAGTATAATCCAACACCCTCCCCCCTTACTTTCTAAAAGGCGCACTTTTGAAAACAGGCAAGGGATATAGCTCATGAGTAAAACACTTGCCTAGCATGTTCAAGGCCCTGGATTCCATCCCAGGCACTAGGAAAAATACCATAAAAAACAACAATGACCAGTTAATTCAAAAATACAACAGCCTTTCACTTCTTCTTCTTTCCCCCCCCCTCCGAATGCCTTCAGGGCAGGTTTGGCTGGCTTCAGTTGTGGGGATGGAACCACAGCAACCTGAGCCTGACTGCTTTGTTGTTGTTATTGTTTTTTAAGTACAAATGGTAGCAAAGTTTTATTAAAAGTAGGAAAAGAAACAGGATCTGGCCAAGGTGTTGGGCAAGGCCAGGAAGTCCCGTAGTTAGATGTCTCACACAGGGCAAACAGGATCGGTTTGTATAAAACTTTCTCCTCTTTAACTTGCAATTGGCTCTTAGGGCTGTGCCTTCCTTCCTCTGGGGAGCTGCACACTGAGAGGTCAAGGTGAGTTCTGATCCATGTTGTAGAATCTCAGGGATTCAGGTCGAAGCCCTACCTCCCCTCAGTTTTCTTAGGACAGAGTAATAAAGGGTCTTTGCCACCTCTGTTGAGTTTGTAAAGAATTGAGCTAAGGGGCAGGCCCCCCAGCCTTTCACTTCTAGGCCTTAATAATACTTGATCTCTTTTCAAACTCTTATTCAAGTTTCTAAGACAAATTCTTTCTTCCTTCTTTGTCATTACTCTGTAGTAGGCTCACTTTTGTCTTAAAATTTTGGGTTTCCTGGAGTCTTTAGGAAGTAAAACAACATGTTTACTACATTGGTTTTGTTTTGTTTTGTTTTTGTAAGAAACTGAAAGTATAAACAAGGACCAAAATGTGTAACAGTTATTGGGAAATGTGAGGAAAATGTTCAAATGGATAGGAGAAAAAAAGGGGAGGGAAGGAAGGAATAGACAAGAAAAAAAAAAAAAGGAAAAAATGGAAACAAAGCTTCTCTAAATAAAGTGGAAGGGTTGAAGGAATTGAGAGGGGAATAGAGAAAAACAGAAGCAAGGTGTATAATGTAGAGGTACAAATCACCTGTGAAGAATGTTGTTATTATTATTATTATTATTATTATGTCTATCTAAAAATACCAATAGAGGGGGCCTGGCCCTAGCTCAGTTCTTTAAGTGGCTGCTTCCACAAAGCTGTCAGCCTCAGGTTGCTGTAGTTCGATCCC